TGGAACTCCAACTTTTGTCGGTGATTCGACGAAAGTTTGGGCCTCATTTGGTGGTCTGGAGGTGGTTTGGCAAAATTTCGGTATCAGGCGGTGGTCCGGTTGAACTCCGGCGTTAGGCGATGATCTGGCGGAACTCAAGTGTCTGGCGGTGGTCCGACAGAAGTACAGCATTAGCGGTGGTCCTAACAGAAGTCCGGTGTCAAGTAGTGGTCTGGTAGAAGTCTAGCATCAAATAGTGGTCCTACATAAATGTGGCATCACGCGATGGTCTGGCAAAACTCCAATGTCAGGTGGCGGTTCAGTGGATTTCCGGGCGTTAGTGCTGGTCCGCTGGAACTCAAAGTGTTAAGTGGTGGTTCGACAGAGCTCCTAGCGGTGGTCGAGAAAGAACTAAGGTGTAAGAGCGTTCTCTGATCTTTCTCTTGCTCTCTTACTTGGAGTCCCCCCCTCCCCTTCAAGAGGAATGAAGGGCTCTATTTATAGATTTCTAAGAGTCGCATGACCCATAAAAAAAAGGAAGATCAAGGGTAAATGTGGAGTGGTTTAGATGGACGGCCGATGTTGAATCCCTTGATCGTGGATCGTTTATTAGCCAATTGAAGATCTTAATGATGTTAGAATTCCATGATCTTGGACTTATTGGATTCGTCTCGCCGAGCCGCTCGATTCGATTATAAGCATGTCATGTTTGAAAACCGTTTGGTAATCCAAATTGATGTTTGAACCTTCCAAAAGTGCTTCGAGTCCTTGATTTGGGCACATTTAGGCTCGGATTGAATCGATTTTTGTGTCGTTGGATTTGTATTTCCAAGACATTCAGCTCGACTATAAGTTTGCGGAAATTGGAATTCATATGATCTCCGATTTAATTTATGAAGTTTCCAACTTGATAAAGATCTTCAATTAGATAGTTGCTTATTAGGGAAGAAATATCTCTAATCCGAGAAATTCTACAATCATGGAATTGATATATAGAAATGTGTTTCATACAAAAAGACCATGGGTGGATGAAAATTTTCATATTGAAATGTGACTTCACTAAGGGAAATATGGTTTCTTACTTTTACCCCATGTTGATTGACAATTCCAGATTGAAATGTGACTTCACTAAGGGAAATACGATTTCTTCCTTTTTCCCATGGGTGGCATGAAAGTTTTGTTTTTCTTCGATATGGAAAAATGCTTTTTCATCAAAAAGACAGTTTGCAGTCTAGCTTTTTTCTATCTCTAACGAAAAAGACTACTACTATATTACTATAGACTAGAAGACTCTTATTAGAAAGACTAAATATTCTAATTTAGAATTATCAGGAATGTCAATGAAAATTACTCTTCTTATTTCAAGAATAAATTTTCTTCGTTGGAACTAAAGAAGTATTGGCCCTAAAGCACTTAACCAGCAAGGGCGGAACCACGTAGTGTTAAGGGGAGGCAATTGCCCCCCCTTAAAAAAAGAATTAATTATATATAAGGGCATTTTAGTAGTTTGCCCCTCTGAAAAATGCTTTTGACCCTTTTTTGCCCTAACGTCCCCCGACTACGTCTCGCCATCTCATTTTTTTTCTTCGTGAATCGCAAGGAGGCCGCACCTCTTTGCTCTTCCCTCTTCTTCACGCCGCAGTAGGTAGAAGTCGCAAGCAGGCCAAAGCTCCCTCGCAAGCAGGCCGAAGCTCTCTCGCAAGCGCCAAGCAGGCCGCAGCTCCCCTCCATGCCCCAAGGAATCGTGATTGTGTGAGTTTTTTCTTCTTGTTTCTGAATTTTTTTTTCCAGATTTTTGTTTCTTCTCTCAAATTTCTTATTTTGGTTGCTAAATGTCAAAATCAAATGGTTTATCTTTTCCTGCAAAAGAATTGCAAGAGTTTTGGCTTTACTGTTTTTTTGTTTTTGTCTTTTCCTTTTGATCTGTTACGGAAAGAAGGTTCTTCCCTGAGTTTTGGCTTACAGAAAGAATTTTTTTTCTTTGATCTGTTACAGAAAGGGTGTATCATCTCTTGCTATAATTTGTTTATCCTAACAGAATTGTTTTCTATCACAAGTGAAGTGCATTAGATTTGTTTAATACGTATAACTAATAATATCTGGTAAGAAAGTTTTTTTGAGAACAAAGGAGAAGGCATTAATTATCTATTTGCTCCAATTGGTTCGGAAAGTGACCCAAAGAAGAATGAGAGATGTATATATAAACACTAAAATTCCCTGCATAAATGATTAATTAAGAAGCATTTTGTGATCATTTAGTTTCTTTCTACAGTAACAACTTTCCACGTGTATGTATAGATAAACACTAAAATTTCATTAGTTTCTTTCTACAGTTACTTTCGTCCACGAACTCCTCAGCCATGAAAATTATCAAACATCGATTGCGTAGTAGGATGGGTGATGATTAGCTCAACGATTGCCTTGTGCCTTACATTGAATGATTGAAAAAGATGTGTTTGATTTGATTCTCAATAAAGATGTAATCCAATATTATTAAAAAATGCAAAATAAATTGATAAAATTGTAATAGTTTTCAATTTATCTATCTTATTGGAATACAAGATTTCATTTTGAATTATGTGCTCATTTTATTTTATTTTTAATATTTGTCTATTAATAAGAAAATTTTGCCTGGATGTAAAAAGTTGAAGGAATTTGTCTATTAAAAAAAAAATTTTGCCCCCCCCCCCCCCCCCTAAAATGAAAGGCTGGTTCTGCCCCTGTTAACTAGGCCGGGGAAATGAACCTTTTGTACAAAAGAAAAAGAAGTCAGGTATTCTTTGTATTGGAGAATTCTGTTTCGAATCATTGAAGGAAAATCAAAATTGTTCTCAATCTTGACTTCACGTGTGAAATCACTTGAGAAATTTCCAATTTTGAATTTTTAAAGCGTCAGATCGCCAATCCGTTGTACGAATAATTCGTACCAAGGGTTCGAATCCCAACTTGAGATTTTAGAATTGGAAGAAATTTCGATTATTTTATGAATCTTTTCTATTTATATAGTATATGGAATGCGCTTGTAAAAAAAAAAAAAATTTTCATCTCTTTTTTTGCCTTGAGATTCGTGCCCGCTCAATATAATTTTTTGATGATATATCCATTGACTTTGACAAAATATAAGTGATGCACGAAGTTATTCCTGAAGACTATTACTTGAATTGAGATTTTTAAAAAAAAAAAAAATCAAAATAATATGTTAATATTTATGTATGATAATGAATGCATTTAAGAATGAATTTTCTCCTGCATCTCATAATAAATCATCATCTATAATATATTTAGGAGTTGTTCGGTTGGCTGCATTTATTGCATAATACATTCAAAATGCAAGCATATCAAGAATTCAAGTGTTTAGTTAGGTGAATTTAAAATGCACTGCAATTCATTAGTCAATTTAGAATTTGTTATCTATTTCAATATTGATGCATTTGAAAATCATTAGATTTGACTAATTTTCTAATGCACTATACATTCTTTGCTATTACCACCATCAACTACCACATCTTTTATCAACTGCCCATCCACTGCTGGCAATCCCCACTGATCGGTTACCCCTACCTACCGCCGACCACAATCACCATTGATCGTCGCTACATTGCTGCCCACCAAACCACTAACCACCCTTTTTTATTTTACAACCACACTTATTTTATTTCAAATCAAACAAAAAAAAAAATCACATCATTTATTTTACTCTCATCAAATAACTTTAAATATTTTAAATACATTGCATTAATTTTATATTATATTTTGTATTACTTTTTCAGAACATAAAATTTTGTTTAGATATAATTTTTTTAATGGAATTCTTAGTTGATATTCTACATGGAATTACTTAGGATTTTTGTTCAAATGCTATATTTGAAGAAGCAAAATAATTTTTTTCCCTAAGAAAATCAATTAACTCAATCAAGTATTTAGATTAAGATTTCATTTAGGACAACTTTTTTTATTACTTTCTAAAACAATTTTGCAATACAAAAATTTTTATTTCAAAAAATTTTTATATTGAAAATTTACTTCAGAAAACAATAAGGAAGCTATCACAAATGAAGCTTAATTCAACATATTTGAATTCATTGGGACATGATTTTTATAACAAGCCTGAAACACCTGCTCCTTATGAGGGTATAATAAAATCTAATTAATGAAATCAACAAAAATAAATAAGTATAATAAGGATCAACTTGAATATTATTTGTTCAACACACTAAAATTATAAATTTTAACAAATATTATTTTATATTCTTTTTAAATATATATTACTTAAACTAAAAATAATTTGATTCAGTATTGAAATTAATGAAATTTTGAAAAATCCAAAATCATATTTAATTGATCAAATTGAAGTTCAATTTATTTTATTTTAATTTAAAAATAATTTGATTGATCCAATTTTCTAACTTTTACAATCAAAACATTCAAATCAATCAAATACATGCTGCTAAATTTTTATATTTTTATAAGAAATGTTTGTAGCTCATAATAATAATAATAATAATAATAATAACTATTAGATTGCATAGCATAATTTCCACTAAGCCTGCAGAAACACTTCCATAGTGAGCTATGCAATCTAAACCATGCATAGCTCACATAGCATAATTTGAAATGGATATATAATAAATAAATAATCAATTAAAAATTTTGTTATACTTATCTCAATATAAATCTAATGATTTTGAGCACTATTTTGATAAATAATTTGGTCAGAATATCCTTTTTTAGTTTTCACAATTTGGTAAACTTATAAAACAAAAATAACTTTTTACACATGATCTTAGCCAAAAGGCCGAGAAAGGTATAAAAAAAAATTAAAAAAAAAAAAAAACTTTTTGATTCCAAATCAAAATTCAAAACAATCAGTAACACATCATGGCTCCATTAAAGCTACCAGAATGACAGCAGAACAACTTGGAATAAAAACAGGCAGGCATTCTTTGGGCAAAAGCAAGAAAGATAAAAGCGCCATGGCCACCATAGGTAAAGAGCTTACTAAAATGAAAAAAGCACAAAAAAAAAAAAACTCTTTGCAGTAGCATAAATATCCACAGATGGATGTCAACAGAGTAAATGAAGTTATTCTTTGCAGTAAACTGAAAAGAATCAGAAACATATACAATGTATTCGCAATATAAGCTTCAGAAGTTGCCAAGAGTTTGAAGATTCAAATACTTTCTGATTATTCATAATAGTAGTGTAATTCATTGGAACAGACTTACTCAGACAAGGGGCAGGCCATCTCAAAAGCTTCCTGCTCTTTGCGACAAAATTCGAACTCGTTAGTGTGGTAGTATAAGCAGCCAGCATAAGCATCCATCTCCTTGGGGCATGTCTGATGAAGTGATTTAAGCCTGAAATTAGCCAAGTGTAAGTTCACATATCTGTAGATTTGACAAAAAATGCTATTAAATAAAATTATACAGAGCTATTTAGAACCCTGAAAGACAAGCCACATTTAAATGGTATTATTAGGATATAACCGAGAAGTATTCTTCCTCAAATCATTCCACACAAAGGGAAGTACGGCACCACTATTTAGAGTATTTATTTTGGAAGCATTTTTAGGGGTTATGTTAGTTAATGCATGCCTATAAGTTGGCATCAGAATTCGCTATCATTAATCACCGCGTTCATCAAAAGCTAGATTCTCTTGCTAGTATTCTGAGGGATAACGGTTTAGAGTTGAAGTCTCCTAATACAAGAAAAAATCATGCAATGTATAGAATTCACAATAAAACTTAACGCTCACAGATTTCAAACTAATAAATAAGCCAATTTGCTTTATTTACAAGCAAAAAATACATAACTATAGCCCTATAAAACAGCCATACACAGCTCATTTTGGTCTATTGGTTAGGAGATTTGGCTACCAATTAAGAGGTCATGAGTTCGACTCTTATGTATGTAGTGTGCAGAAGAATTTGTCTTAATTGACCTAAATATCCCCATATATATACTAAAAGAATCGGAAACAAAAATGCCACGGAAACAGTTACAATCCTGTAAAGCCAAACACGGAAAAATAGTCCCAACATTATTCCAAAACATATAGATCAACATAATACTGGGAAATAAAAAATACATCCCCATCAAAGCCATCATCACAGGCATGTCCCAAAGTATTGAAATTATAATATAAATTAAATAAATAAACTAATAAAAACAAATAAACTTGCTAAAATTATTGCTTGATGCGCCGATTCTAGAGAATAAACAAGCAAATTTCCATAAAATCTGCCCAGTTCGGACAAATTAGCCTCTAAATTTAGCATTTGATACTCATCTAATAAATCAAAGGATAGAATTTTGCTTCTTGCAAAATAATGTTAAGTTATGGATCTTGATTTTTGTTGTAATTTTAAGTTGCCCAATTTTTTTTCTTAATTCTTAAAAAAACAGAGGGGGTCATCTTATGTTGAAAAAAGATAAATTCAGCTGTAACTCTCCACAATAAATCATAAAAAATTTTGTAGCGATGTGTTAGACCAGTCCACTGGACCGATCCAACCGGTCCATATGGGAGGACCGGCTTACGGACGAAACAGGCAGAACTTCCGCCTCCTGTACGTGCCAAATGCATGCCCGGGCCAGCCAAGTTGTTTAGGAAAAATTTTTGGGGGAATTAGGAGGGAAATTTGAATGTAGGGACTGTTAGAGATTTCCTTCTACATTGTATGCATTAAATAGTTTGTTTTCCTAGGGTTAGAGCATCTTGAATTTGGTTGAAATTTGTGATCCCTTAGGTTTTTGGGCTTTAGCGGTTTCTTGAGATTAAGGAGAGATAGATCCTCCGCTCACATAGAGGATCAATTGTATGTGGATTCTTGCGGAGAATTTTTTTCTATTTTTCAAAGATTGATAGGAAATTCTTAAAATCTTCAAGTGTTTCCTATCAAATTGGTATCATAGCTGTTCAATCCAAGCACCCATGGCTGGAAGAAAAGTAAAAGTATTGGAAGGCGAGATTGGGCAATTGAAATCAGAATGTGTAGAAAAGACTTCGGATTTTAAAAAACTATTTTCAATCATCCATGAGAAATTTTCTATCATGGAGGAGATGATAAATAAGCTGCTTGGGACCAAACCAAACCGACAACATCAAAGAAAATGGGAGTAACCCTAATATATGGATTATGAGAGAGAATCAGGAGGTGGAAATAGTGGGGGAAGAAGAGGGGATGCTACTTTTGCAGCCACTTCCAAGGAGAGAGAAAAGGAAATGGTGAAGGAGTGAGACTTTTAATGGAGCTGCAGAATTTGTAAAGGGAAAAAGACGGGGAGAAGATAGAACCACCAGACTTGATTCTACCAACCCTACAACAGTATCGAGAGGTGTTCCAGCAAGTTCAAGGGTTGAATCCTTTGCGAGAAAGTGAGTATGTTATCATCTTAAAGAAAGGAGTCCCGTCTATTAGTGTTCATCTATATCGTCATCCTCAAATCCAGAACAAAGAGATTGAGAGATTAATCAAGGAGATGCTCGAGGCAAGGATCGTTCGATTTAATGTCAGTCCATTTTTCAGTATAGTGGTATTAGTCAAGTGTTTCAGTAGCAGATTCGTTTGTTCCACCTTGAGGACAAGGTGAAACTTTGGAAGGGGAGTATTGTTAGACCGGTCCAGCCGGTCCATACAGGACTGACTTACGGACGAAACAGGTGGAACTTCAGCCTGTTGTACGCGTCGAACGCACGCCCGGGCCAACCGAGCTATTTAGGAAGAATTTTTGGGAGAGTTAGAAGAGAAATTTGAATGTATGGATGTTTAGAGATTTTCTTTTGGATTGTATGCATTAAATAATTTGTTTTCCTAGGTTATGGCATCTTGAATTTGGCTTAAATTTGATATCTCTTAAATTTTTGGGCTCTATCGGCGTCTAGAGATTTGGGAGAGAGATCCTCCTCTCGAATAGAGGATTAATTGTATCTTTGTATTTTCCATTTCTATTTCGTCAAATAATATAAATTATCAACCGTTTTTCTAATTTTGTGTGGATTATTGTGGAGAATTTTCTCTGTTTTCCAAAGATTGATAGAAAATTCTTGAAATCTTCAAGTGTTTTCTATCACAATGAGAATATGATGCAGCCATTAATTGGATGAACATGCATAAAATTCTTATTTGTTTTGTAAGCTAATGTTATTTTATTTTATTTTTTCTGTTCTTCTTTTTCACTATGTGCTTATGTTGATTTCACCAATTTCTAACAAGTAATCTAAGGGTCCATATAGGGCAAGTTTATCACTCATTTTATGAAGCAAGATTTAGAGTTAAGATTTTTAAATGCAATGTGAATGAGCAATGTATCCAATTCACTCAAGAGAACTTGGAAAAAATAGATCACAAGCCATTAAATTAGCCAAAAACTTAATCTTATTTAAATGTAAAAATAAAAACAAGAAGTAATGATCAAAAAAAATTTAAACGAAACTAAGAAATTGATCATGCAAAATTAGCAAGTAGTTATAATTCAATAACCAAAAGTAGAACCCCAGTTAGGCCAAATTTGAATAAAGTCTTGAACACAAGTAACCATAATAAAGCATGTAGAAGAAATTGGATTAAGGAAAAGTTCATAGAAGATATCCAAGCCTCCTGCCAATATAAGGAGATATCTTTCCCAAGAATTAGGTAGGCACACTTTTACCAAACTTGAATGAATCGCATATTCAACTTACGCATAAGATTGATAACTAGAGAAAAATTTTTAAATAAAATTTGTAAAATTATATGCCTCAAAACATCTATTTATAAACTACTCATCCCAAGGATAGAAGGTATGATTAACACAAAATCAACCCAATCTGATTACTGATAATTTTCAAGTTTATAATTTAACCAAATCCAAAAATTATAAACTACACTTCATCTGAGGCATGAAGTATAAGTGACTTATAAACTACACCTCACCTGAGGCATGGCCATCCTGACCTCTAGATTAATTATTCTGCCTACAAAGAGCTACCAGCTAACCCACCTAAATGCTTTTAAAATCATATAGTCTCAAATGCATATAAAGAGTAAGAATGTTGTTTTGCTTAAAAAGTAGCGCTTAAAACTTGACTTTGAGGCTAAGATGCCTGATCATGTGGTTATGCACAATGCTGACTCACAAAGAAAGTAGATTTTTTGTTATCTAGTCCTTAAATGAATGCTAACTAAATGTGCCACATTTGGCTATGTATGATCATTTTAAATTTTTGAAAAACTTTGCTCCTTGAAATTAGCCAAGCAATTTTTCTTTTATTTAGAAAAAATGTGACCCCTAAGGTTGCTTTTAGATTGTTTACATTTTTAATGAGTGGAAAATTTAATTTTATGCTAAGAGCCTACCTAAATTTCTTATTCCAATAGAGATGTTAAAATGCTTAGGAGATGAAGGAATTTCTTGGCTTACTAAACTTTATAATATTATTTTGAAGACTAAAAAGATGTCAGATGAGTGGAGAATTAGTGTATTGATTCATATTTTTAAGAATAAAGGTGATGTAAGAGATTGTGTGAATTATATAGGAATTAAGTCATACTTTAAAACTTTGGGAGAGAGTTATCAAGCATAGGTTGTGGTGTGATAATAATGTTTCTCAAAATCAATATGGATTCATGTCAGGTAGGTCTACTATGAAAGATATCCATTTATTTAGAGGTTTGATGGCGACATATAGAGAGAATGAAGAGAATTTATATATGATTTTTATTAATTTATAGAAAACATATAATAAAATTCCTGAAGAAATGCTATGGAGAGTTTTACATAAGAAAGGGGTTAATAATGTTTTATACAAGTCATTAAGGATATGTATATAGGGGTTGTTGCTTGTGTTCAAATACAAGGTGGTTTGACCAAGTATTTTCCTATTTCAGTTGGATTACATCAAGGATCAGCCTTAAGCCCATATTTTTTTTGCTTTAGTCATAGATGTTCTCACTAGACATTTGCAAGAGGTTGTACCCTGGTGTATTCTTTTTGTTGATGATATTCTTCTTGTTGATAAGATTATAGAGTAAGATGAAGGTAAACTTGAATTATGGAGATTAACCTTAGAGTCTAAAGGCTTTCGTTTTAGTAAATCTAAAATTGAATTTATAAAGTGTAATTTTAGTTATAATAGATCTAGTGTGGGGATTGTGACTTTGGGCAATCAAGTCATTAGTAAGAGTACACGTTGTATATACCTTGAGTCTATTGTTCAAAGTGAAGGCGAAATAAATGGGGATATTATTAGTAGAATTCAAGTTTGATGGTTGAAGTGGAGGAATGCATCAGGCTTGTTGTGTGATAGAAATATCCCTCTCAAACTTAAGGGAAAATATTATAAGATGGTAGTGAGACCTGCAATGCTTTACGGTGC